CCTTTAAATTCCCTAATTTCACTTGAAGGTAGACTCTGGTAAGTTCAAGAGGCATACTAGAAATCATACAAGCAGCCATTAAAAAATTAAAACAGGGAACCGATTACAAGGATCTGCATATAACCTCCCCCTGGGGGTGGACAACAGAAAAGTGGGTGAAGGAGACGTCAGAGAGTGTAAGATATAACAAAATAACAATGTATAAATTATCAAGGGTTCATGAGGGAGAGGGGAGCAGGGAGGAGGGGAAAATTAAGGAGTTGATATCAAGGGCTCAAGTAGAAAACAAATGTTTTGAGACTGATGATGGCAAAAAATGTACAAATGTGCTTGACACAATGGATGGATGTATGGATTTTGATAAGAATTGTCTGAGCTCCCAATAAAATGATTAACAAAAATTAAAACAGATATAGCTTCAAACAGGTGTTGGTAAACTTTGGCCCACTGACCAAATTTGGTTTATTCCTGTTTTGTGAGCAAAATTCAGTTGGAATACTGACATCCCCATTCATTCATTTATGTATTAATTATGGCGGCTTTTGACTAGAGGCAGAGTTGAGTAGTTAATACTGCAAAGACTATATGATCCTCAAGGCCTAAAATATTTTCCATTTTGCCCTATACAGAAAGTTTGCTAACGCTGACTTCGAAGCCAATGCGCCACTGCCATCAAGTTGACTGACTCACAGCAGTGCTGTCGGACAGAGTAGAACTCGTCAGGTTCTCTTCAGAGCTGCTGGTGGGCTTGGCCAGTAGATCTTGTAGTTAGCATCCACCCCACTGTGCCACCAGGCACCTTTAGAAGCCACTCGTAGAGAGATTGGAAGCTAAAACAGAGCTCAAATGACCCAAAAGAAAGACCAGAAAAAGGAACAAAGAACAAATAGGACAGGAAACAATTTGGCAGATTTGATAATAATTACAGAAGATGTAAATGGTCTAACAACAATTAAAGGGCAAACATGGTCAGAGTGATTAAAAGTTGTATCGCAAGATATTGGTGAAGAGAGTGCTCATATTAGCAATTTTTATCATTTTATTGCGAGCTCTTAGGCTCTTATAACAATCAATACATCAATTGTATAAATTTTTCTTTATTAATAATTTTCGGGGGGCTCTTACAAATCTTATAACAATCCATCATTCATATTTCAGCAAATTTCGTATATTGTTTCAAAAGATTTAAACCAGTAAATAAGGTACTGTGTTCAAAAAGATAGGATTCAAGTAGTCAGAAATTCTCATGGAAAGGTTTCTTAGCCTGGGGATGAAGCGGTGAGAACACACAAGAAGATTTGCTGTTGGGATGAGTCGAGTTGAGTCGAGTTGAGTTGAGACGGTCATGAAGGCACTCTCTTTCGAATACAAGGGATTTGAGGATGGCAGACTATTCCGGAAGCCCTGGGGGCATAGTAGTAACACATTGGTCTGCTGATGGCAAGGCCAGCAGTTCGAAACCACCAGCAACTCAAAGGGAGAAAGCCTGGGCTTTCTACTCTTAAAGAGGCATGATTGAGAAAACACACAGAGGCAGTTCTGCCCTGTCCTGTGGGGCCACTGTGAGGCGGCACCAATTCAGTAGCAGTGAGTTTGGTGTTTTTTTGATGGGGAGTCTACTATTTTCAGACATTACGATTTAAAAAATCCACTGCCCTTGAGTCAATTCCAACTCATAGCGATCCAGTAGGACAAAGTGGAACTGCTCCATTAGGTTTCCAAGCCTGTAGACCTTGGTGAAAGCAAACTGCCTCCCACAGAGGCAGCTGATAGGTTCAAACAACTGGCCATTCAGTTAGTAGCCCAACGTACTCCTGATAACTAGGCTGATATGCAAAAAGGTAAATAGGCTTAAGTTATCCATTACAAGGAAGATGTTGGAGAGCTGGAGAGTAGAGTATAGTTCTTATCCACACCTGGCACCTGGAATATAGTCTGGCAGGTTTGTTGTGTGAATCTCTCCTGTCTGCTGACGTATTTCATGGAGCAGGAGATGTACTGCTTTCGGTACACTTGGTGATTCCCAAGACGCGCCGTCTTCGCAGATCTCAAAATAGTGGTTCGTACCTGTCTCTGCTGATGTGGTAGCTTGATTTGACAGTGTCAATTAGAAAAGAGCAGATAGACCAAAAGACCAAAAAAATTCAAAGGGGCCCATAATGAAAATTAAATTTGGAACAATAAGATCAGCCAGGTTATATAAAGTCTAACATTTCTCTCACTTTAGCAAACATTTACTGGCCGTGTGCTGTGGGCTGTCTGTGCTGTTTTGTGTAACTGCTAGGCACACTTCAAAGCACAGACCTGTTCTGACAGAGTTCGAGTTCTGGAGGAGGAAGAGAATCGGAATGGCTGACTTCCTCCTAAAGGAAAGAAGAGATGGGATGAAAGTGGGATATTTGGGTTTCGTGTGGTGGTGGTGGTGGTGGTCTAAGAATTATATTGAAGTTGGGGAACCTGGAGGCAGAGAGGCAGCTGATAAGAGAGCTTGCACCTGCCTCCATTGCCGTATGGCATGGCGTACATACTACCCATTCCAACTTGTGTATGAAGAGAGACCCCCCTAAAAAGGGATGCCGTTAGTATGTGCTCATTGAGGAGCATGCTACTTGTCAATGAAAAGGATTATCAGCATAAAGCAATACTGTGTGCTTGTGTTTTTCATTCATTTGCTCATCGATCCATCCATCCAACACTTTTTATTAAGTACTTGCTACATGACAGAGCCTTGGCAGCATAGTGGTTATGCATTGGGCTGCAAAGGGCAAGGTTGGCAAGTCAAAGCCATCAATTGTTCCATGGAAGAAAGATGGGGCTTTCTACTCCTAGAGAGAGTTCCAGTCTTGGAAACATACGGGGGCAGCTCTGCCCTGTCCTGTAGGGTTGCTATGAGTCAGCATGTACTTGGTGGTAGAGTTTGGTTTGGTTTTTTGCCATATGCCAGACTCTCTTTCCCGGTAGTCAGTAAAGAAGACAAAGCCCCCGCCCTTGGTGGAGTTGCACTCAGTAGCAGTCAGGCCACCCTCGGTGAGTAATGTGCACACTGCCAGGCACACAGGAAGTAGGGGTCAGTCATTTTTGGCTGTGAGAAGTTTCAGTACCTACTCTTTGCAAATATTTGTTGGGTACCCCTTTTTAAGGTGGAGGGTCAGAGAGATCAACTCATTGACTGAATTTCCTTTATTGTTATGTAAGGGGTTGTGATATGTGAGGGATTAGGAGTCTTGCTCAGTTGGGTAAGTTATGACGCTACACTCGATTGACCAGCACCAGTACACGTGCCCTAGACGGTGAAGCACTGAAGCAGGGCCTGCTGGGCACCATCCACACCAGTGCGCTCTGGCCCAGCCGGCATGGATTGTGGGCTCTCCAAGTCCCCGAAAGGCACGCTGTTGTCACTGTGGATGCTGCGCAGAGCCCCTTTGTGTGTCCTTATTTAGCAACTGACTGCTTCGGCGAGGCTGTGCCACTTCTTTTGTTAAGGATTAGAGCGGTGGAAAGAAGACAATGCAAGGGAAGAGCAGGGTACAGGAAACAAAGACAGACTGATGCCGCATGCATGCGCCCGTGCGCGCACACACCCACTCACCTTTTGAGGGTTTCTGACTGACTGTCTCAGGTAACATTTGTCAGGTAAAGCACCAGAAATAGCAGTGCTGCCTTTCTGGTCTCATGGTTTCCTTCAGGTCCCACCTGTGACCAGTCGCATGGGCATGTCTGGGAGTTTTCTCTCTGTTCTCCCAGGGAGGGGTCCCTGAGGCCTCTCCTCTCCTTCGAGCAAGTGGGAGCTTGACATTCACACGCACAGAGCGAAACAGCCTTTATGTGCACACCCGTGCAAGGCGGCTCCATTTTCTTCTACTTCCGGGTTTCCGAGCAGTGGGCGTGGGCTATCGGCGGTATTTCGTGGTGTTGGAAGCCGAGATTGGATTGAACTTCTCCTGGAAACAGCCCGTGCTTCTGCAGAAAGCAGCTAAGGCTGGGAGTGGAGGAGTCAGGACCTTACATTTTGCCTGCAGGTGAAATGCTTCATGTGAAAGTGGTGATTGGAATTGCAGGCTGAACAGATGCTGTCCCATTAGCAGTGTGCTTAGGCAGGCATGGACACGGTTTTCCTGCCCTTCCTAATCAGCATGGTAGAGATGGCGCGCGTTCCCTGAGCTTTCTTCTGGTCTCTCCCTAGACGTGAAGCCCTCCAATATGCTCGTCAACACGAGAGGACAGGTCAAGCTGTGTGACTTTGGAGTCAGCACCCAGGTAGGTCTCTGCCCCCCTCGTCCCCCCGCCGCGGCACCCCTCTCCTTACAGCCTTCCACTGGCTGGGTGGACAGCACCTCGCTGCCAGGCAAACAGAAGCTCTGCCTCTGCTCCTCAGCTGGGAGCATGTTATTCATTTTTAATCTCCGAGCGAGTCTCCTTCATCAGGATATGATTGTTCATTGTTTAATGACAGTAAAAACTGCTGATATTGTAATTACTACTTACGAATAGCAAACTTCATTGATATGCAGCTTTGATACGAAAGCATTTTGGCCAGACAAAAGGGAGGGCAGAGTGGGAGCCTCGCCTAGGGAGCCCAACTGGCCCACAATAAAAATTAATATTGGGAGCAACAATGGTGGAGGGCCATTACAATGTGCAGCACAAATTTTAATTAATTTCCATTTTGGGCCTCCCTGGAGAGCCCCGGTGATAGTGACCCGTGCGCGCTGTGATGTTGATTTGAATCGCAGCCACCCCTACTCCCAGCCAAACACGAAGACCGGAGCGAAGGTCATCGTGTCTTCTGAGTTGTCAAAGTCTGTTAGCCCTCCAGCGTCGCGCATGCGCTCTGCTCAAGTAACGCGGGCGGCTTCTCTCGCCTTGAGCCAGCTGACTCCAGACTGAGTGTGTTCAAATTCCGCTTCAAATTGACTTTTTATATCAGGCGGGTTTGGGGTACTAAAGCGAGAAGCATCCTGCTTAAGTGAATTGTTTAAGGTTATCTGCTACAAACTGTAATGCTGCGCTTGTTTAAATTGGAAGCCGCATTCAAAAGAAAAGAGAGATTTAATCATTGTTAATGCCTTTGTAGATAAATTTGTTCCCTTTTTACATAATTTTAGTTGATTTATAGGAATGACAATTGTAGGTTAAATGAGGAATAATTGCCCATTTTATTTCCACATTATCTTTATATGTGCTAACAGACTGTTTTGTCTCATAGCTGGTGAATTCTATAGCCAAGACGTATGTTGGAACAAATGCTTATATGGCGGTAAGTAAATGTATGCAAAAATAACATTTAAGCCAACATCTTTATCTTTATGTACTTGGTAATGTAAAATTCTTGAATTGATTCCAGAGTGTTAGCCCAACATCATAAATTAGGCAGACGATCCCATTTTTAAATCTTCCCAAAAGACATCAAGGTCTGTACCGGAGCTTCCAACTTATCTGACTTTCGTGACATAGCCGGATTGGTTCAAGTGTGAAATCACTATTTTGAAGTTAATCCTACAGAAAAGTTGTGCTTTGTAGCCTAGTGGCTTTTTGGCCATACTGCTTATTTAAATAGTTAACCCTCAAGCATGCTAAATGTCCATCAATAAGATTGGTTGTTTTCTCCAGGAAGACAGTCAAGCTTTGGCCCTAAATCAGAATGAAATGATTATTATCACCAAATCTCACGTGTGGGTCCCTGTCTAAAAGCGTAGCAGGCCGTCTTCTTGTGAATTTGAACCTCTCTAATCTGCTGCAGGTTTGCACACCTGCCTGTGGTAGCATAATTTACTTCACTCCACCAAAGTGAATTTACCGAGAATGGAAGAGTGAAGAAGAAAGCGGTTTGAAAGGCGGTTGTGGACTTGGCTGTGACCTCTTTTTTTTCTCTTTTTTTCTAACTTTTGTGTAAGGAAAGTTACTTGTGTCTGTAAAAATTCTTTTATTTCTTTCCGAAATCATTTCCAGAATGAGAGTGAAGGGAGACAAATAAGAAGGTTTATCTGGTATCATTTTGGAAGTAGAATGTTGTTTTATATTCATGTTTGGGGATTAAGGTATTAAATAATGGCTCTAAATGTATTTAGGTAGTTTCTTTCACTTGTGATTTTTTTTTTGGGGGGGGGGCAGGGGGGCAGGGGTGCTGTTTATATACCATGAAGTCAAAAGATGTTACTGGCACTCTGGATCTTATTCTCAGAATTACACAAAGCATCCCGTTTTCACTCCGTTACCAGAATAGTTCATTTTTGCTCTGCATTGTCTTCAGAGAAAATTAATCTTTTCCTGTTTTTTTTGTTTTGTTTTGTTTTCCAGGTAACCTGAGGGTGGGGTGGGGGAATGAATTAACCTCTCAAATAATCATGTGTCTTTATATAAAACTAAATCGCCCTTCTGGCTCTACCAGGTTAGATGAGATTAGTACACCACCTGTATGGTTAACAGAGTCCTGATGAATGCTATAGTTTTAGTCTTTGAGAGAATATGGGAGATGGCAATTAAAAAAAAAAAGATAAATGAGACAACTTTCTCAATCACCCATCATTATTTTTCGTAGCTTTAAATGGCTCTGATAATTAAATTGTATTGTGTTTGAGTGTACAAATCCAGTTCACAGTTGTCTTTCCCAGCTGTACATTAAAGAAATTACTTTTGTCGTCCCCCCTCTTTGTTTATGGATGGGTGTGATGCATCCATCTGTGAACTGAAAATGTAAGGATTAAAATTAGGAGAGGTGAGCACAGATGGGCAAAGCTGAAACTGCTTTGCTTCCTGGGTGAGTGAACTCTCGTCCCCCCCACCCCCACCCCACCCCCCCGTAGTTCAGAGTCCTCAAAGCCTAGGGACCTGGGATGCCGCGGAAGTGAAGGCCGGAGATTGCCTGGCAGCAAGAACACGAGCTTCGCCCTCACTTTCAATCCAGCAGGCTCCTGTTGGCCAAGCTAAAGGGGGCTTCCAAACCTTTGTGGGAAAATGGAATTAAGAAATCATGGGCTTTCCCCAGACTTTTGATTCTCCCACGTTCTTAACTAGAGAGGGTGGGACCCGAGGGGGAGGGGAGGGCGAAAGTGAGACTGACACACATCCTTTTGTCCTCGCCTTCCAACAGTTTGAATCCTCTGAAGAAGGTCTGAGCTTCTGTTTTCAAACCACAACTGGTGCTACATGGACTTATTTCTGTTGGTATCTGAACTTTCTGTGGTTCAAGTGATAGACGACAGTGCGTTTCAACCATTTATACACACCCCGCTTCCGGATAGTGATTGGTCCTATCGGCGTACCCACATTCTCCCCCGCTCCTCCCTGGGCTCTCCGTGAGGGTTCTCCTTCCTGCCTCCTCAGCTTGGACTTTGGGGAAATCCTTTTCCGTTGATGTCCTGTGGGACATTAGACTGAATAATGACCTAAGCAGGGTTATTCACTTTAAAGGCCTGCCTGCTGTTTGCCTGAAAGTTGTTCCCCAGCCTGGGGCAGCGGGGGGCGGGTGGGGTTCTGTTCCAGGCTGGAAGGGTGTCCAAGGGCCACAGTCTTGGGGGTTCCAGCAGCCTGGTACCACATTTTAACTGGTCTGTTGGATAACTCTCAGGTTTGCAGACTCTCCGGACAAATTTAGCATACTACTTGTGTGTTGTTGTTGTTGCTGTGAAGTAAAGTTTTGTTGGACCATGCCCATTTGTTGATGTACTGTCTGGGGCAGCTTCAGAGCTATGATGCCAGAGTGAGTAGTTGCGACAGTTTGACAGAGACCGTATGGCCTGCAAAGGTGTCCTTGTTTTACACTCTCTGACCCTTTACAGAAAAAAATTGCCAACTGCTGGTCTCTGCCAGTGAAAGCTGCGTCTGAAACGGCACCGTCAGTCAGTCAACCAGGATTTACTGAGCACCTTCCCTGCTCTTGGCCAGATGCAGTGGGACCACGCCACACCCAAGATAAAACATGGAGAGAACTAGGAAATAGGGCCTTATGCAGATTTATATATGCCCTAATACTGAGGTCTTACCCAGCATGCACTTGAGGATGAGAAGGCATACAACGCAGACGCTGGGCCTTTCCAAGGACAGACGAGAGAGCACTGTGCAGGGAAGGGCAAAGACTCGGACTAGAAGGGCAAGCGGCATGGATGGAAGACAGATAGTGGGTTGTAGGAATGTGTAGTTTGAGGTCATCCGCTCAGTGCTCTTGCTTTATATCCGCTTTCTCCCCTTTAGACTCAGACATACTCCTATCTAGTTGTAATAGCATCCGTTTTAGTAATAGCTTCGTTATCCAGTGCTGCCAGAACAAAAATACCACAGGTGGGGGGCTTTGACAAACAGAAACTTATTTTCTTACCGTGTAGGAAGCCAGACGTCTGAGTTCCGGTTACTGCATCTAGGGAAGGTTTGCTTTCTCATTGTCTCTGAACTTCTGCTCCTGGGCAGCCGTCATGTGACGTGGCCTCTCTTCCCCATCTGTCCTTGGTGGCTAGAGTTTGCTCTCTGTCACATCACTAAAGAGACGGACTCAAAATGTAGCCCACACTAGTCCTGCCTGTTACCAAGGACAACGCGTTCCCAAATGAGATGATCGTCATCGGTTAGCGTTCAAACACATACATTTAGGGGACACAGCTCTCTGATGTATATATTATTCATCTCGTTCTACAAATGAGGAATCAGGCATAGAGAAGTTAAGTGGCTTACCCAAGTTCATAACGCTGAAAAGTAGCACACAGGATCAGAACCTCAGCAATCAGACTCCAGAACCTAACCTCTTCATTGCGGTGCCTCCCAGGCTGGTAACCAGTCTGTTCCCATAGGATGTACAGTCTTGGAAACCCTAAGGAGCTGTTCTGCTCTGTCCTACAGGGTTCTGTGAATCACAGTTGGCTCCCTGGCAGCGGGTAATGGGTGGTACAGCCTAGATGCTGAGCTTCTCCGAGACGGGGCCTATTCTGCTCATGTTCTATATCCAGTCCCTCATACGGTGCAAAAGGAGTGAATGGTTCACGAAAACTGCACTCCAAAAGTTCCCTAGTTATAAGCAAAGTATTTAACTTTTTGTATTATGTATCTTACTGGCATGATAAGAAAGATGCAAAAATTACTCAACTACAGCCAGCCAGGCCATGTTAATATTAGAGAAGAAATTAAATCAGAAAGGAATAGCCAATGGGCGAGAATAATTTCATTTCATTCTCTTAAAACCTGCACTGTAAGATATAAGAAACATGATCAGGAAACTAGCAAGATTCTGAGTCATCAGACAACAAGCAAAACTAATGAGCACAAGAAGAGATTTAGAAAGTTATATGGGCCAGCCTCCTCCCTCACAGATAATGAGACAGTCCCAGAGGTGACGTGACTTCTTTTTAGGGTCATTTCATTAAATATTAAATAGATAAAAGGGGGCTTCAAAAAGTTCATGGGGAAAATGCACTATTTTTAAACATCATTTTCCCACAAACTTTTTGAAGCCCCCTGTGTTAAGCTGAGTTCTCTAGAAAAGCACAACCCATGATGCTTTTACACATCCGCCTATGTGCACATGCACACACGAGCTCTAGTTGTATAGTGGGTTGTGCACTAGACTGCTAACCGCAAGGTTAACAATTCAAACCCACCAGCTGTGCTCCATGGGGGAAAACGAGGCTGTCTACTCCCATCACCAGTTAACATCTGGGAAACCCACAGAGGCAGTTCTACCCTGCCCTATAAGATTGCTATGAGCCAGAATGGACTCAGTGGCAGTGGGTTTGGTTGGTTTTGATTATACACGTGTGTGTGTGTGTATGTAGAAATTTAATGGCTGACATAATTAAAGAAGCTATTTAGCCCAGTCTGGTTCAGATCCATGGGTTAGATGTTAAGCTGAGGCTTCTCCTGGCTCTGGCTCATGTAGCTGTAAGGGGGTGGAGGTGGGTTGTTGAACCAGGAAGCAAGCATAAAAAGCAAGAAGACTACAGGGTGGTGGTCAGTAGGTCAGATTTGTAGCTGCAAAGTCCAATTAATCCAAAATCAGCAGGTCAAATGACAGACTACTAATTGCTCCCAGTGTCAGCAGGCAATATAAGCAACCATTGGCTCAAGTCCAAAGGACCTGAGGTCAGTGAGCCAGATGCAGGTTCCAGACCAGCAAGTAAGCAAGCTTTCCACAGAGTTTACTTATATAGGAAGTAGACCACACCCCTCAGGAAACATCATCAGGGCCGTAACCTTAGAGCAGGATCCTCAGACTTCTTAAACGGGGCCAGTTCACTGTCCCTCAGACCTGTTGGAGGGCCGAACTATATTAAGAAAAAACTATGAACAAATTCCCATGCACACTGCACATATCTTATTTTGAAGTAAAAAACAAATGGAGCAAAAGCACCCGGCGGGCCAGATAAATGCCCTTGGTGGGCCGCATGGGGCCCACGGGCCATAGTTGAGGACCCCTGCTTTAGAGGGTTGCATTCTACCCTAATCTTACAACCGAGTGGCTGCTCCCAGCAGACCCCAGTGTGGAGTTGACTACACTGGTCGGTAACTTCACAGAGGCTTCTTTGCAAAACCACTGTCATACTGACAGAAAACTAAGCGCTCGCGTGCCCCCCATGTACTTTCATCCATTTTCAAAACTCCCAATTTAAAAGCACTTCATCCAGAAGGATCGCAAAATGCGTCCCAAAGGCTTTGAGGCGTATAATAAATTTAAACTTTATTTCTCAGATACTTAAAATTTTACTCTTATTTTGAAGGCATGCATTCCAAAACCTTGAACTCACTCACTATTCAGTCATTGTGACTTGTTAAAACTTTTGTAAAGGATTAAGTATAACAGCTTGACTTTAGTGTTATGAATAACTGAAACTTCGGAAGGAAACAAATCTTCTCAAAGGAGCTGTTACTTGTCCTTTGGGACCACAAGTTGATCTAAAGGACTCTTTTTGTCACTTGAGCCCTTTTTCTCTCCATCAAAACTATTCCTTTCCTCAAAGTTGCCTTTCTAAGGTGACCAGACATCCCGCTTTTGGCCAGGATATGAGTTTTATCAATG